CTGATTTTTTTTTTTTTCCCAAACGATCTATTATGGTCTATTTCTATCGTCCGTTTTATGCCTACCCAATATATAGCCGTGGCTCTCCTTCCCTGATGGACAGAGCTGGGAGTTCTATTCCCTTGATATTTAATGAAGCTTCTTATAAGAGATAATAAAGGCTAATATAGCAAGTGATATTCTTGCTAGTCACGAATGATCTTATCTCTAATCAGAAATGAGCATCCTATAGATTCTGAGAGATTCTAATTCTCCATCTTAGCACTATATATTCCGTATAGCGGGGGCGTAGATGGCCAAATAGAAAGAAATGATTCCAAATCTCAAAAAAAATTATTCGTGCGATCCAAGGTCTCCGGCCCGATCTATCTATTTCATTTATCTCTCTTGGGCAAGTTATTAATTAGATCTCTCCTCCCAGAGTCTAATTTGAAATGAAAAGAAAGATTCGTTATTGCGCAGCGCATCGTCGCGACCAATCTATAAATTCTGAAAGCTTTATATTCCCCATTCAGGTTACTTCTATACGCGAGATACCGCTCTGCAGAAATAAAAATAATTCCAATTCTCGAGAGATTTTTTCTTCGTGCAGCCCAAAATCTGCGGCAAATTATTTCTATTTCATTTAGGCTAGAGATTTGGCAGCGACTCGAGAGAGCAAATGACAAACGCGGTTATCTCGGAATTATATCTTCCGCCGAGCAGCCGCGTACGCCATCAAAGCGAGAGATAAATCACGCGAAAAATTGATTCGAGAGGAAGAATCGCGCGACCAAAAATCTCTGAAATTTTTAATCACCCCATCCCCTCCAAAAATCTCGGATATTTTAGAACCTCTAGCTTTTCTGAAGGGCTCTAGAATCCGAAATTGTAGAGCCCTAGAGAGCCCGCAGATATATGCTATATATATAATAATAATATTTTTGATTATTTGAAATCAATATCTTATTCATAAGAATATATAAAAAGAATAAAATTATCATCTATATATATATATATTTATTATCTTGATTAATCACTTCTCGATTTTCGGATCAGATCTTGAAATTCAAAAAAAAATTAAAAATAGATTCGGAATCTCGGAAGATTTTTGGTCGTATAGCCCCCATATCTGGTGCGGTCTTTCCGCCTCATATATCTGTCTTCTCGTAGATAGATACGGCCAGCTTAGAAATTCTGAAAGATTTTGATTCTCCGTCTTGGATCAATGCGCTCCGCCGAGTTGCCGCGCTAAATAGCCAAAGAGAGATAAATCACGCGGAGGGCCGCTCCGGGGGCAAGCTGAAAGATTTGGATCTCCGCCCCGGGTCTACACGTTCTACCGAGCCGCAAAATCTCGGGAGGTTTTTGGTCGCGCAACCCCCCGCATCCGCCCGGTCTTTCCGCCTCAACAGACACGGCCGACCTAAAAATTCTGAAAGATTTTGGTCTCCGTTCCGGGTCTACGCACTCCACCGAGCAGCCGTGCAAAGAGCCAAAGAGAGATAAATCACGCGGAAAACCGCTCCGGAGGCAAGGGCCGCGCGACCTATAGATTCTGCAAGATTTTGGATCTCCGCCCCGGGCCTACACTTTCCACCCAGCCGCCGCACAGACAGCCAAAGAGAGAGGGAAATGGTTCGAAATCTCGGGAGATTTTTGGTCGCGCGGCCCCTGCACCCGGCCCGGTCTTCCGCCTCATTTATCTCTCTTGGGCTATCTGCACGGCGGCTCGGGGCAAGCGCATAAATGCCTGTGGACAGACACGGCCAAGCTGAAAAATTCTGAAAGATTTTGGTTCTCCGTCCCAGGTTTATACGCTCCACCGAGCGGACGCGCAGATTCAGCCTCGTAATCTTGAGATTTCTGACCTGTCTCATGCTAAGTGAATCCACGTCCTTTAAGATAAGGGTAGGTACGAAGCAGCGTCTTTCGTCTTTGCGCTTATCGCTTATTGAAAAGATTGAACATTCGCAGGCGCCTTCTGCACAAGCAGAAGTGCCGTCAGAGCAGGGCGAACCTTGAGGGAACTGAAATTTGCCGCGTGCTTCTACGCTTCCCTCTCTGGTGCTTAGAGGAAATGCTTGAATGGGTTCTGCCGGCAACTAGCTGGTATTACACAGAGCTACAGGGATCCAGTCCCTCCTATAATCACCAAGGAATCTCATATACCTGGGAAATACGTCACGCGGCAGTCCAAGGCCTGATGGCCTTGGGATGAGGGATCTAGAGTCTTGCTTCAAATGGTGACAGGATGCAACCGTTTCTGCCCGAGCCACGGAAGGCAAACGCATGCACAGGGAATTGCAGCTTATCTGTTTGCTGAATAATTGCCGCGGCCCGAACAGCGTGGCATCGAAAACTTTCTCTGGACGTGCTGGCAAGCCACTTTTCCCACTATATGCGCTGCCTTTTTCGCAGCTCATAAGTCAACACTGGGCACCCTCCCAAGTTGTTAATCTACGCATGCCCTGCGAACCAGAAAGCCAGCACCCCCAGATACATCTCGTAAATCCATGCTTCCTCATCTCAGAGCAAGAGTGCCCGCTGTGTTTCGGAAAGCCATCATATCCTGCGAGAGCATGCCGGCAAACTCTTACAAGCAGTTCTGCGTCAAATGAGCAGGCAGTTGTGAATCAATCCCAACGACAGGGAATGCTTATCAAAATCCACATCTACGGAGTGAATAAGCCTAAAACATGTGTGCAGGGTCATGGTGTCTCGAAACAGTCTCTTTACACGGGGGATTTGCTTCGACGAGGGTGGTTGCTAGTGATAGTGCATCCCAAATCCTCCCAACAAACTCAAGCGGCCCTTTGAAAGAAGCCCAAAAACAAAAACAAGCCTGCTGCACTAAGCAGCACAGGAAAGAAAATGCCTGCAAGTCTGGCTGATCCAAGCCCAAGACCGATTGCAGCGACATGCTGACTGACTTCCATCCATCTAGCTAGAGCACTTTCCTACACCTCACTCGGTCCAGCCTTCTTTTTCTGAATGTAGGCGGTTTCTCTGTCTTCGTACGAGTCCTGCCATATAATCTGAATGTAACTGCAGCGCAAAGTCTCCTTGCTCCAAGCGCATGTGCTGTGGGACGACCACTTTCCAACACACTGTGCTCATGAAATTGCTACTACAACACACATGCCTACCACGAACTGAGCCTTCCATCCCACTCGCCCGCATGATATCGAAAGAGATGTAAGTGAGCCGGGCAGACGTCCATCAAGATGAAGGGGGGTTTCCCTTCTGCCTCGGCTGAAAGCACGGGCTCTGGTCTGGCAAAAATGAGAATGTTCACCCAGTCGTGGGCCACTAAACGGGCTAGGAATTGCAAAGCGCACATGCGCTTCAAGAGTAATCCCCTGTAGCAAATCTTGTTCCACCCGTTCAGCAACCTCCCAGCAATAATCAGAAAAGTAAGAATTATCTTTAAACGAATAGTAATAATAGTAAAATGATAATATGACTAATACTAATAATCGTAATAGATATTAGAATAATTATGATAGTAACAGTAGTACCAATCGTAGTAATAATAATACTAAGAGTCAGAGTACTAACACTACTTGAAGTAATAAGAACCCTTGCATCAGACCTTCTGCACACGTCCTGTTTGTGCAGGAAGTACGCCACGTATCCCCCTATCCCCCCTCGGAGAGTAGCTGACGCGCGGAGTACCTGACGCGCGAAGACCGCCCGCGGGAGAGCCGGGAGGGGGGGGGTGGCTAGATCGTTAGATAGATAGATAGTAGCTGACGCGCGGATCCGCCATCCTATATCCTCCTGGGAGGGTACCTGACGCGCGGAGTACCTGACGCGCGGAGCCTCTATCCTCTATCCTGAGC